GGGGGGGGCTGGACCACCTACCGGGGAGGTGCTGGGCCACCTGTAAGGGGTGCTGGGCCACCTGTAAGGGGTGCTGGATCGCCTGTAAGGAGGAGTGGGCCGCCTATTAAGGGGCGCTGGGCTACCTATTAAGCGGTGCTGGGCCACCTATAAAGCGTACTGGAACACCTATAAAGGGTACTGGGCCACCTGTAAGGAGGGGTGGGCCACCTATGAGGGGGGGCTGGACCACCTATAAAAGGTACTGGACCACCTGTAAGGTGGCACTGGGCCACCTATGAGGGGGGACTGGGTCCCCTATAAAGGGCACTGGACCACCTGTAAGGAGGGGTGGGCTACCTATAAGGGGTGCTGAGGCAGGGCTGGGCCACCTATAAGGGGTGCTGGACCACCTGGGGGGGCGCTGGACTACCTATAGGGGGTACTGGACTACCTGTAGGGGGGCCGGACCACTTTTTGGGGAGGGGGGTGATTTGGGGGGGGGGGTCTCTGTGCTGCCGGCCCCCCCCTTCCGAGGGTTCCTCTCCCCTAGGAGCGAGGCGGCAACAACTCCTTCACCCATGAAGCCCTCACGCTCAAGTACAAACTGGACAACCAGTTCGAACTGGTGTTTGTGGTAAGCGACCTCCCCCGGGAGGGCCCCGAACCCCCCAGGGAGGGGGATTGTCCCAAAAAAAGGAGGGAATAAAGGAAAAACAAAGGGATTTTTAACCGTGTACGGCTGCGGATCGACGCCCTGGAGCGGGCCTCCTCGTTCCTGGCTCCAGAAGGGTCTCGGGGAGTCTGTTTTTAATCACCTGCGATAGGATTAAAACTCGTTAAACCTCAAAGAGAAGCTGTACAAGCTGCTACATCCTAATAAAACTTTTTACTTTGACCAGATCTATTTAAAAAAAGCCAGGAATGTGTCACTCCTTTACCTGAGAAAATATTTTAGCGCTCTCCCTTTCAGTCTCCCCATACCTTATCTCCGTAAATCCACAAAACCTTCCGTACCTAAAGATAAGCAAAAGGCTTTTTGCTCTCTCTCCATGTGTTTTTGTTGCCGTGAAACCCATTTTTATCGGTGTCGCCTTTTAAATGGCTGTGCCGGTTTTATTTCTTTTTATTTTGAGAGTGTATTAAAAGCTGGGGCGGGGGGGGGTCAGATTAGAAAACGTAGCCCGAAGCCTGCTGAAATTAAAGATCTCCATATCAAACGGCGAGGTTTTCGCTTCCTTGCCAGCTAGATGCCGCGATTAAATTAGCTGGAAGAGGAACATCTTTTCGCTGTGCCGCTTCGCAGGTGGGGTTTCAGAAGATCCTGACTCTCACCTACGTCGACAAGTTGATAGATGACGTCCACAAGGAGTTCAGAGACAAATATCGCAACGAGTTCCAGCAGAAAGGCACCCTGGGCCTCCTAAACGGCACCTTTGATTTTAAAGATGACTTCATGCGCCTTCTCCGGTAGCAGAGCGTGATTTTAATTTATTCTTTTTTTCCTCTCAAGTTTCCATTTAGAGCGGAGATAGATGGGGGGGGAGGGGAAAGAGCTGGAATTCAGGCTAACGGGCCACCTCCCCGCAGGGACGCCGAGGAGAGCAGTAAAGTCCGAGCTCCCACGGTAATGAAGACGTTTGAGCAGTCTCTCAAGTCCCAGAAGACTGTCAAGTGTATGATAGAAACCCGAGGGGAGAAACCAAAGGAGAAAGTCAAGAACAAGAAGAATAAAGGCTCTAAAAAAGAGGGTGAGTTTACGGGAAAGATCCATGGGGAGGGGAAATAAATATTCCAGAGCTCCGCGTCGCAGCCTGCGCTTTCCCGGTCCTCTGGTAGCACCCGAACGCTGCTCTGAGCTCGTGTCGGGGCTCTTTCCGTCAGGAACCGAAGCTGTGGCAGCGCCCGGTAAAGCGTCCGCGGGTGACAAGCAACCCTCCGCAACCGGGGAGAGGGAGGAACTGACCAAGGATGAAATCCTGCAGAAAAACCGGGAGGAATTCTTCAAGAGACACATGAAAGCGGGGGAGAAGTCCAGGTGGGGAACGAGGGCAGGGTCGGTCCACCCGTGCTTCAAACCAGCTCTTCCTGGTGTCCCTCGGCCACAGCTGAGCGTCTCCTTCCTTCAGTGACCCCTGAAAGTCAGATTTTGCTTTCCCAGACCTTATTTCCCTTTCCCTTATTTCCCTGCTTGCTGGGAAAGGGCACGCTCGGGGTCCTGGAGGGGTAACAGAGCCTGATCCCTTCCCTGGGAGGCCCAGAAACCCAGCCTGCGCCTGGGAGAGGCCCAGATCTCTTTTTAGCGAGGCTTCCCCGCTGTGAGCAAAGGGCAGCGGCGCGTCGATGCCTGCCTCGAGGTAAAGCGGCCTGCTACAGGGTTAAAGTTCAGATAAATAAACTCCGGAGACTGAATCAGCCAGGTTTAGCCTTCATTTCTGCCTTTTTGGGTAATCCGGGCGCTTAATTTTCACATTTTCTAAGGAAGCGATTGCTGCTGCTTCCCTGCGCTGAACAAAACGTGTTTCTGGTCTTTATTTCAGCAAATCCCCAAAGCCGGAGGCACAGAAGGAGAAGGGGAAGAAGCCCCGAGTGTGGGATCTGGGGAACTCTAATGCCAAAGTACTCGATTACAGTAACTCCGCTACCAACGGGAGCGCGGAGGCTTGTCCCGTGGAGGAATTTGACCCTGATACAGTAAGGAAAAAAAATCAGGTCGCTCTGTCCGCTTTAGCGCGTTGTTCTGGGATCAGCTGGGCGTTGCAAACCCAGCCTGGTCTCCACGGCTGGCTGAGAAGGTCCGAGAAACGGGGATCGCGGCGCCCGGCCCATAAAGCTGCCGCCTAAAGGATGTTTTCACCTGCAAACGGTGTCAGGTGGGGTCGATGCGCTGAGCCTGCGTGGCAAAGATTTCTGCAGAGCCGCCTCCGCTGCTCGTGATAACTCGGTGCTGCCTGTGGCGGCGAAAGCGGGCAGGGGGAGACGCCGGTAAACCGTTGCCTGTTTTCAGGGTGCGTCTTTTCCCCCCTCGCAGGCCCTGGGGGATCGAAATCGGGAGCCCGGCCGCCTCTATGACCTTGAGTACGAGAGCGATGACGAAGCCGAGGAGGAGAAGGTTATTCAGAACCCTTCGAAACCCAGGTAGAGGCTGCTGCAGCCCCCGCTTGTCACACGCTTCTTAATTTCTCTCCTGTAACTCCCCTTCCAGTCTAACCGGTAATGCACTGGGGACAAACTGGTGCGTTTGGTAGCTGCGTGGTGGGCTCTCCTTGCATCTGGCCGTTGCGTGTCCTACGCAACTCGCTCCTCGAACCTAAAGCTTGCTCTGTTTCTCCGCAGCGCGAAGAAGGGTGGCCTGGGGGGCATGTTTGGCATGCTGAAAGGCCTGGTGGGCTCCAAGAGCTTGACGAGAGAGGACATGGACCCCGTCCTGGAGAAGATGAAGGATCACTTGATCGGTACGTCTGGATCCGCTGGGAGCGGGTTAGTTTGAGGTGGTTCCCTGCGCTCCATCGGGAACCCACCCACGGTTTGGGATGTTCTTGCCCGCAGGGACCGTGGTGGGTTCCTGTCTCGTCGCTGGGGAGCCCTGGAGAGCCCATCAGAAGGGGGGCAAGGGTCTAGGCTGGTGGGGACGCCGACGCCGTCCTTCCCTTGACGCTGATGTCCGGTGTGCGTAACCTCCTCAGCAGCGCTAACTCCCCTTCTCTCCCTCTCTTTCTCAAAGCCAAAAACGTGGCAGCTGAGATCGCGGTGCAGCTCTGCGAATCGGTGGCTAAGAAACTGGAAGGGAAGGTGATGGGGACGTTCACCAGTAAGTGGCCGTGTGGTTGTGAACCATACCTGCTTGTGGGTGGGGGCTCAGGAGCGTTCCCCAGGCGTGACGGGTTCTCTGTCCGTCTTCTCCTTCCCAGCGGTGACCTCGACGGTGAAGCAGGCCCTGCAGGAAGCTCTCGTGCAGATCCTGCAGCCCCAGCGCCGCGTGGATGTCCTCCGCGACGTCATGGATGCCCAGCGCCATCGCCGACCCTACGTGGTCACTTTCTGTGGCGTCAACGGTGTGGGGAAGTCCACCAACCTGGCCAAGGTAGGACGTGGTCCTCCCGGCTCTCTGGGACAGGTGCTGAGGTCGGGCTGTGGCTGCTAACGAGTTTGGGTTTTGGTTTTTTTTTTTTTTTGATCTGTTGCCACCTACAGATCTCGTTCTGGCTCATCGAGAACGGTTTCAGCGTCCTCATCGCCGCCTGCGACACCTTCCGAGCGGGAGCGGTGGAACAGCTCCGCACCCACACCCGTCGCCTCAACGCCCTGCACCCTCCGGAGAGTCACGGCGGGCGGACCATGGTGCAGCTCTACGAGAAGGGTTACGGCAAGGACGCCGCCGGGATTGCCATGGAGGCCATCTCTTACGGTAGGTGGAAAACTGTTGGCGGGAGACGCCGTTTCGGGGGAAGCGTCCTGCTTAACGCTGCCTCCTCGTCTTCCCCAGCTCGGAACCAGGGCTTTGACGTGGTCCTGGTGGACACGGCCGGCCGCATGCAGGACAACGCTCCCTTGATGACGGCGCTGGCCAAACTCATCGCCGTCAACGCTCCCGACCTGGTCCTGTTCGTTGGGGAAGCACTGGTGGGAAATGAGGCTGTGGATCAGCTGGTGAGGGTCAAGGCTTTGTTTCCTGAAAGAGCAAGGGAGGAAAAAACGCTGTTTCCGTAGGTTTTACCGGAGATCTAGACAGCGGCAGCGCCGCAAACGCGTTTCTCTGCTCTATCCCCTTCCTCAGGTCAAGTTCAACAAGGCCCTGGCTGATCACTCCATGGCCCAGACGCCGCGGCTCATCGACGGGATCGTCCTCACCAAATTCGATACCATCGATGACAAGGTAAGGAGGCCGTCGAGACGGCTCCGCGCGGAGCTTCCTGCTGGTGATCGGAGAGGGAGAGACGGGAATTGCCAAACGCGGGGCGCTTCCACGCCGTCCCCTGCCTTCCTCTTGCATTTAAGCCGTTTAACCAAAATTTAGCGGTCCGATTTCCGTGCGCGTGGGAGACGGGGCCGTGAGGTCTCTCGGTTCATACGCGTCGCCGCAGCGGGGCGTATAGGGACCACACAGCTCCGAGAAATAGGAGGAGGCTGAATATTTGACGAGCTCTTCGGCGCGTTCCCCCGAGGAGGTAGCGCCGGATTTGCAGGCTAACGCTGCTCGTTGTCCTCGGCAGGTCGGCGCCGCCATCTCCATGACCTACATCACGAGCAAGCCCATCGTTTTCGTTGGTACCGGACAAACTTACTGTGATCTGCGAAGCCTTAACGCCAAGGCCGTGGTCGCAGCGCTCATGAAGGCCTAAAACCCACCAAATCGCTGTTTGCAGATGTCCGAGAAGAACATGCTTTACCCCGTTACTGGCTAGTCTTTCCCATGTAGTGCAGAACAGAATGAAGGGATCCCCGGCGCGAAGGGTATTTTTTTTTTTTTTTTTTTGGTTCAAAACCCTTTATTCACTCAAAGCCA